ATACCTCATTATCAGACCAAATTACAGTGTCGCTAATATTTATCTCCTGCAACTTATTTCTTATATAATTAGCTAATTTGACACCTACGTAAATGGCTGTTAATTCCAACTGAGGTAAGGTACATGATTTAATTGGAGACACTTTAGCCTTAGACATAACAAGAGAAATAACACTATTACATTGAAGGTAAGCAACTGCTCCATATGCCAATTTTGAAGAATCACAAAAAATGTGGAGTACATTTTTCCCATTTGGATTGGCCACCTGGCGTGGGAACTCCAATATTGAAATTTTCTCATAATCACCAATTAATTCATCCCACCTGTTAATGAATTCCTCAGGTAGAATTTCATCCCAAGCACATTTAAGTTTCCATGCTTCATGAATTAATAATTTCCCTCTTATAGTAAGGGGTGACACTAAACCTAGTGGATCAAAACATTTGGAAACTTCAACAAGCAAAACTCTCTTAGTTAATTTATTGGGCATACTGTAATTATTAGGTTTTAACATTAACAAATCTCTCTCAGTATCCCAAGTTAAACCCAATACATTACTACATTTTGGCACTTCATCTCCAGGGAAATCTTTACTTATTTCGTCCTTTAATTTGGACGAATTACTATTCCATTCCCTCAAAGGCATATTTGCACTTTGCATTATTTTATTAGCCTCTCCATAAGTCATTAACAATTCCTCTTCAGTTGACGTCACACACCAGAAATTGTCCACATAAATTTTTGCTCATTACTTTACTCAATGGACTTTCCATACGTTTAAGGTGTGCATTTAACATCGCTTGAAGTAGGAACGGACTGGATGTGGCACCAAATAATCCGCTCCTAAAGCGAAAGGTTTTCAGAGAGCTAAGTGGGTCACTAGGATTCTCAGGCCATAAGAAGCAGGTACAATCCCGTCAGCTCTTGTAAACCCACTCTTAGGAAAGCTTTACTTATGTCAGCCGTAAAGGCATAATTCTTCACCCTGAAATTTAATAAGATATCTCCTAATTTTTCCGTCAACGACGGACCTGTCATCAAACAGTCATTTAAACTAGGTACATTTTGTTACTCCTGGCACTACAATTAAACACATCCTCGAGGAGTGGTCTTGATCCTTCTTCACTCTGTGATGTGGCAAATAGTGACCAAAAATTTTGGCTTGCTCAGGAGGTACCTCTTCTATAAAATTTATTAATTAACTGTTCAGCAATTATACATTACAGGCAGTTAACAATTCTGGTGTCTTACTCAGTTGCGGGGAGCTGAGCCTTTAACGTCCATAGCCATTCTGAATTAGTGGGCAATTCTGGATGGTTCAGTCTCCACGGAAGTCGTACCCAGTATTGTCCAGATTCAAATTTTACATCTCTCAGGTATTGATCCTGAGTAAAAGAATCATCTGGACTTTCTTCATTTACATTTATTCCAATGCTGTCTAATTCCCACAATTTATGCACTGGCTCAACACCATCCTCTATGGAAGAATTATACTGGGGTACGATTTCATGAGTAAGACACACACTTATGCTATTTGTAGTTTCCTCTAGTCATGAATTATTATTACGAGGAATCCTACCATACATTACATGGCCTCCTGCAGTGGCACCACATTTCTTTACCATACCCTTTACAGAGGAGGCATAATAGTCACTACCTATCAAAATATTTATTGGGCCTACAGAATCATCACTTACACCAGAAGGTGCTAAATTTACATTATGTGAAAGTCTTTCTGTAGCTTTACTAAGTCCTACTGTAGATATTTTATCTGGAAGTCTATCTACAATTACTGCATTAACACGTTTTTTCTCATTGCCCAACCTGACAGTTACATAAACAGTGTCATACAATTGAGCCATTTAATTCGAGAGAAAACCAGATAATTTTAAAGTTGTGGGATCTCCCATCTGTACTTTCATACCATCAAGACATTTACGTTTTTTTGAAAGTACGCTGGATCCCTGGTCCAATAATGCTTTTACAATTTTTGATTTATGCCTTTTATCATCAATTTTTACCTGTAACACAGGTAAGGCTACTTCAGCAAAACCATCATTATTAACATTAGCAGCAATTTTTACTTTAGCTACTTTTGTGTCAGGATTTCAACATTATCATTATTATCAACATTATCATATAGACCCTTACACATGACTAATGGTGCCTTCCTTGTGACATGATAACAGTTGTTTAATTTGGCATGACAATCCTTTACATTGTGATTACCTAAACACCTGATACATCTGTCAAGTTCTTCCAATCTTTCAACTTTACATTCCATGAATTGTATGCATTGCAATTCTTAGAAAAATGATTTACCCTTGCAGAAAAGACAATCTCTCTTTTTTTTGACTGGTTTCTTTTTAACGGGGGCTACTCTTAGGATGGTACTTATTCTTCTTACCTTGTGGAGAATCATTATTTCTGATTCCTGCTACTTGATATGTACCTATGCAACTATTTTTTAGAAATGAATTTTGATTATTACCATTGGGATAATTTTTCCCCCTTTGTGAAACTTGACAGATACCTCAGAGTTATTATGTGTTGCATCTTTAAAATGAGTTAGTTGGCTGGTCTGCAACTGCACAATTAATTCTTGTAGACCTAGTCTTATTTCCTCCAGACCAAAATAACCCTTGTGATATTTATTCGAGCCCCCATTCAAGTGTTTTACAGCTTAATTTATTCTGTACCATGGCACTCAATAACCAGTCGGGATTCCTTCAGATTATATTATTACTTAAAGTTTTGAGAGTGCTCTCCAGTTTAACTCTAAACTGCTGAAAACCCTTTTGTAAGTGTGATCTGGAGATTTTAAATTAACAATGATATTCACTAGATCCAACCTACTTTGTTCTATATTACCATAAGTTGACCTTCAACAAGTCAACTGTTTCCCTTGTAAGAGTCATCTACATTGGGAAAGGCTTGTATGAGTATGTGAGCATCTCCTCTTACCTCCCCTTTGAGGTAAAATAATTTATTTTACACGGGCTAGATCACTCCTATCATGCACGCTGCTTTAAAAATTGACCAAACTCCTACCAATTTCTCCATGATTAAATACGGGTAAACAAAAATTTCTGGAGTTTGGCAAAGACATTATTTGTTGGAGCAGACTGATTAACTGCCTGGTTTACACATTTTAATTTATTCAAGGCCTGACTTTTACAAGAAAGAATCTTTTCCTCAAAATTCATAATACTGATTAATCATAAGATCTACTTCAGTCTCATCTACACAGTTAACTAACAAATCTCCTTCATATTTGTTATAATATAATTTGTATGAATCATATCTATTCCCCAAAGCATCTAAATACAATTTTAAATCATCAGTATTCACAGTTTCTTGATTCATTAATTCCAAACATTTATTATATGCCTTGGTTACATGACCCTTTCTAGTTTGTAGTGATGCTTTCTTTGCTCTATATTCCATATGTTTGTCTTCTACATTAATTTCCTCATTTTCAGCCATGATGCAATGTATTAAATTCACTTAATTAATAACACTGATTACAACTTACAACACTGATACGACTTACTTTTGAATAAATCCTAGCTACTTGAGCTCTGCAATTACACATACACTGATATAAATCTTGGCCAGAATTGTCTTATCAAATTAATATTGTACAAATACATTAATATAAATCCTAGCCACTTTGGCTTTGCAAAATTAATATTATACACATTAATATAATTAGCTACACTTGGCTTATAAATTACACATACACTGATATAAATCTTGGCCAGAATTTGGCATAGCAAAATTAATATACACATTAATATAATCTTTAGTCATACTTGACTTGACTTATCCAAATTAATATTGTAATAATTATAATCCACTACACATTAAGTAAATTTGTGAACTTAACATCCACCTCCTGTCATTTCACATATAATTATTAAGTAATTAACTAATTAATGACTTCACTAATTACCTCCGGTTCAAGAAGTACCAACGGGCAAATTAAATGTGGAAAATTACATTTTTCTGAATGTATCATTAGGTACATAACAGTAAATGAACAAAGATAATTATTATTTATCAGTTAGACAAGTAGGAATTGGGGACACCTAGGTCGAAAAAAATGTCCCCCTTCGATCCCTTACCACTGTCATTCCACAAGTTGCTCGGGACCTTTTAATTACAAATGAAATATGTATCACCAGGAATGCTGGTAAATATATAAATTTGTGGACTGTATATTAAAAATAATAAATGATTTATAATATACACAATACATAACAGAAGGAGAATATCTTAAAATCACCACCAATTTGACGGGAATCAAGGTGTATCATACTAAAGAAAACCTCACAAACTAAATTTTAAAAAAATACTGGCCAGAATTATAAAAAGAATCTAGATAGCTTATCTGAGGTTCCTGGAGCTGTCTTGTCCAGTCGTCTGATATTTCAATTTATGCAGGAATGCATATCCAACAATATCGCCTCCTATTTGAGAGGTGTCAACCCAATTTTACCTCTAGAGCACGAGAAATTCTTCACATTATTAACTAACGTCTGTTACTCAATTCAAAACAACAATGGCAAGTCTCCTCTGCGCAGGCGCAGGGTTTCCCATTTTCGATAACATAATTTTTATTAAATACAATATAGGCCATCTATTTACCTATAAATTACCGTATTTCCGGAAAATATATACAGTATTTTCCATAGGTTCGTTTTATTGAAGAGACACTGGTAGTATGGGTCTCACTGTGTAGGTGAATATGCGCTCGGGTTCAGACTACAAGTTCTCAAAATAATAACACCAGGTAGTATTATCGCCCTGAACAGTTCCACATATTTTACAAGTCGGTCTAAAACTCTACACGAAGCGATGGTAGATCAGCTATGCACTGTTACAGTAACCCTTCCACACTCTCACACTCCTACTACGCCACTTCCTAAACCCCATTCACCCCACTTCCCACACCATAGCCACGCCATCTAATTATGGTGACACTCAGTGGAACTCACCAGTAACAAACAGCAACAGCAACATCAAATGCCTTCGGAGGGCAATCCTGAGGAGGAACATGGCTGTTCAAGACAGATCTCTCCCAGGAAGATCACGACCTCTGTGCTTCAGCTCCCAAATTCACCCACAACTGAAAACACCAAGAATTTGGACCTTACTTTTCCAGCAGAAACTCTCAAAACCAGTTTAACTATATTATTATTATTATTATTATTATTATTATTATTTATTATTATTATTATTATTATTGCTACTAGTCATAGGGAAGAGCTAAACCCATAAGGGTTATGCAGTGCTTGGAGGAATGGAAGTTTTCAAGATTGACCTGAATAATGAGAGGTTTACTGTCTTGGATCAGGAACCCTTCACATGCATCAAGGAACCACCCATGAAGGGTTTATTTTGCAGACAGAAATTTACATCTTAGCAGTCATGAACCGCTATGTTAGGTGTAGCCTCTCACATCAGGGGTTACTGACTATTGTCGCTCATAATGGACGTGAGGCCACACTGACAAACACACACATACACACACAACTAACAAAAACACACGGTGAAGGGCTCTTGATTCAAGGATTTAGATCTATCATCTTCATCAGACGAAAATTGATGCCCTACCTCCCTTTCCCCGGGTGCTGTATGACCCCTACGGGTTTAGAAGTACCCCATGAGTTGATAAACCCTCTTATAAGCGCTGTAAAGCGGGACCCTCCTGTATTGGCATCTCCCAGGTGCACGCTCATTGGCATTAAATACATATTTAAAATACCTATCACAGATCCCCTATCATAGACACCTAAAAAAGACAACTCGAAACGATTGGGTAAATTCAGATTTAGAGGGGCTATACAAAAGTCTTGACTTTATTTAGATCCCCGTTTTCCTTTCAGCATATTAGTGTGCGTTGGTGTGGCTGTGCTAGGGTGTGTTGTGAGTTGTGCTAGCGACGTTGAGCTATGTTAAAAATGCTGATTGCTTCTCATGATGTTACTGTCATCTTCACATCAAGACGGTGATAGTGGTGTTTGATGTGTTGTGCACAATTACTGGATTTCTGAATGCACATATACAGACAGTAATTGTAAATTTGCATCGTACACGGTGTATTTTCTGAAGAAAGTAATTATTATGTCTGACGCTTCAGCATAATATATATCGGATCTCTGCTGTGTGTCTCTGTATGATGAATACTAATGATTTGCACCCGATGATACATTACACAAATAACCCGTACATAGGAGAAAGAAACTTAAGACGACGTGTCGGTCTGCCTGACTTGCACCATTAACTAATCAAGTCGATCCAAGTCGGACCGTAACGTCGTCATAAGATTTTAATTTCTCCTGTGTGCGGGTTATTTGTGTATTGCTCCAATCTCGGTATTGTGCCTTTTTATACTTTACACGTGATGGTCACTTACGGTGAGTAGACTTCCGTATGTGTCGCTGTGTCATGGTTCACGACCATGCTAGTTGCCAGGCCATCCTCAAATTTCCCGTTACTTTTCCTTACTCATTTGTGGTTTGGTATGTGATAATGTTACGCTGGCTAAGTACGGTGTCAGGGAGAGTGGCAAGGTTGACATGTAGCATTACTGGTATGAGAATGCCACTCGTTCTCACACCAATGACATCCTCTTCTTCCTCAGCCACCCCGTTATTTGACACATCATGGCGCGTTTTCCTAATTTGCTTACAAGTGATTAAATATAGATTTTATGTGATCCAGCATAGCTAAAACTAGCCAACTTTAAGTTTAACTAACCTAAAGGAATGTAGTTTTGAGAATATGATAAGTGGAATGGTTTAAATTGAGCAAAACTTCGATCGTTCACGCTTTAAAATGAGAATTTCAGAGAATGAGCTAGAAGTTACCATTTGGTCCTAGGCACATGTCAATTAGACACTAGGCCTGTACTCACCTATTTGTACTCACCTATTTGTACTCACCTATTTGTGGTTGCAGGGGTCGAGTCTTAGCTCCTGGCCCCGCCTCTTCACCGGTTGCTACTGGGCCCTCTCTCTCCCCGCTCCATGAGCTTTATCAAACCTTTTCTTAAAACTGTGTATGGTTCCTGCCTCCACTACGTCATTTTCTAGGCTATTCCACTGCCTTACAACTCTATGACTGAAGAAATACTTCCTACTATCTCTCTGACTCATTTGTGTCTTCAACTTCCAATTGTGGCCTCTTGTTTCTGTGTCCCCTCCCTGGAACATCCTGTCTTTGTCCCCCCTTTTCTATTCCACGCAGTAAATTTTTTATATCGTTTATCATGCTCCCCTGACCCTCCTGTCCTCCAGTGTCGTCAGGCCGATTTCCCTTAATCTTTCTTCATAGGACATTCCCCTTACTCTGGAACTAACCTTGTCGCAAACCTTTGTACTTTCTCTAGTTTTTTGACGTGCTTTATCAAGTGCGGGTTCCAAACAGGTGCGCATACCCAGTAATGGCCTGACAAACACGGTGTACAGTGTCTTTAATGATCCTTACTAAGGTATCGGAATGCTGTTCTCAGGTTTGCCAGGCGCCCATATGCTGCAGCAGTTATCTGATTGATGTGTGCTTCCGGGGACTTTCTCGGTGTTATACTCACCCCAAGATCTTTTCTCCTTGAGTGAGGTTTGCAGTCTTTGGCCACCTAGCCTATACTCTGCCTGTGGTCTTCTGTGCCCTTCCCCTATCTTCATGACTTTGCATTTGGCAGGATTAAATTCGAGAAGCCATTTGCTGGACCAGGTGTCCAGTCTGTCCAGTTCTCTTTGAAGTTCTGCCTGGTCCTCATCCTGTGTGTGTGTGTGTGTGTGTGTGTGTGTGTGTGTGTGTGTGTGTGTGTGTGTGTGTGTGTGTGTGTGTGTGTGTGTGTGTGTGTGTGCGTGCGTCGTGCCGAATAAGTAAAACTTGCGATTTGGGTTCAAATAGCAGTGCACTTCTTGCCGAATAGGGCAAACGAAAATTTGTGTTGTGTGTGTGTGTCTGTGTGTGTAATGCTGTCTGTGTTGCTGTTCCCTAGTGCTTGATCCTTCACTGTATTGTTGTTCCCTAGTGCTTGATCACTCATTTATTGCTGCCTTCTAGTGCTTGATCCTTCACTGTTGTTCTGTGCAGAATGTTACTGTATTGTGGTGCTGCTATGGTACTGTTAGGTTACCTCTACCGTCGAGTAACTCCCACTGAGCTACTATGGCTGACCAGCTCGTTGTTTTCTGTCTATTTCTCACACTCTCGCCTTCATACACATACATATATTGTCTCAATCCAGCACACTATGTCAGCTCTAGGCCTCGTCACGTAACCTACCTATACACACGCTGAAATCTTATATCTATCATAAACAGCATCGCCAGGTGTCAGTCTCACGAAAAACGCACACGGTAACTTTCTCTCACTTCTCGTTGCCTCTGCTTCACTGATATTATAGGAGTTACTGAGTAGGGCATATGAAGAAATATACAGGAAGGGAGGGATATTGCCCCAAGATGTGATTAAAGCCTAGTGTGAAGGCTTAAGCAATATTTATATATATCTTAATCGTTCTTATAGTTGGTTGAACTTGATCGTAACCTTGACCTTGAGACCAACTTGTAGCCCACTCAAATTAGGTGTGATTTTGCACTCGGAGATAGGAAATTACTAAGCAATTATATTAGCTATTTTTCTAGCTATTTTTTTTCTAAACTACACTAAGTACAACACAGTTCTATTGAAATATGTGGGTAAAATATCGTAGCACATGCAGAGTTTGCGTTTAAAAAACTTTACTTTTACTGGGATCGATGGAATTACGGTGACGACATGTGTGATGGAACCACGGCGACGACAGGTGTAGCTGCAGAAGAAAAGGCAGCAGCGACAGCAGAAATAGCAGCTACAGCAGTAGCAACTACAAAGACAGCAGAGGTAATTGCAGTTTCAAAAGCAACTGCAACTACGGCAGCAGTAGCAGCAGCAACCACAGCAGCAACAATAATTACAGAAGCAGCAGCAGCTGCAATAGTAGAAGCAGTTGCAGAAGCAACAGCAACAGTGTCAACGGTGCCTCCGTTATGCTTGAAGCTTAGTAACTGTCTGCAGGGACCCGAGACTCAGATCCACAGGACCTCACCAGGTGTACACACACACAACATACACACACACACACACACAAACACACACACACACACACACACACACACCACACACACACACCACACACACACACACAGGGGTCAGGAGCTAAGACTCGACCCCTGCAACCACAAATAGGTGAGTACACACACAGGACAAAATGGTAATTAACACACAAACCTAACCTAACACATTAGCTCATAAATCCCCCCACCACACACAATTTTACGATAAGCTGAAGCAGCTAGAACATCCCAACAGGATATAAACAAAATGGGCTCTCAAAAGGGAGGATGTAAAGGCAAGGGAACCGATGATGGCTGGTCGGAAAAGGAAGAATGGGTAGAACGACTCAAGAACAAAATGGAACAACAATGGGAGAAAAGGTTAAGCCTGCTTTGCAGTAACATGTTAGAGCAAATATCTGCAGAGAGCAAGAAGTGGGAATCACGAGATGTAGTAGCTGAGGCAAAGATACAGAGATTGGAGGAAGAAATGGATGTGATGAAGCAGGAGCTAAAGATGAGGTCCGAAAGGAGCAAGATGACTGAAATGGAAACATCAGCAGGCAGCGAGGGGACTGAAGGAGGAGATGGATCTAAGCAGTCTTTTGCAGCAGTAATATCAGGCCATCATGGTGTCTGGGAGATGATTAGGGAAACAGCAAAGGAGATGCTTAAATCAGATCCAGAGATACAGAGGGAAAAGAAATGGGAAGAGGAGAGGGAGAGGTCAATAATTATTCATGGGCTTCAGGAGGCTGAAGGGCAGACCTATGATGAAAGAAAGCATTGGGAGAAAACAGAGATTAAGAACATCATTGCAATAACAGGAGAGAGGGACATGTCTCAGGTAGAAAATTTTCACAGACTTGGGGGGGGTATTCGAGGGAAAAAAATCGACCAATCAGATTGACATTCAAGACAGATGTGGTACAGAACAGGATACTACAACAGAAACCACTGTTAAAGGACTCTCCAGATTATCAAAAAGTGTTCCTCAATCGAGACAGAACATGAAAGGAAAGGGAACAACTGAAAGTGAGAGCAAGACAGAACCAGTGGAAGGAAAGAGAGACAGGACAGGCAATGACAGGAAAACTCAGCCTTTGGGGGAACATCAAACACAAATGCTTACAGAAACCTCTCAACCCCTGTCACCACATATCAGCCAAACACAGTAAACAGAAACGAACCTCACTCTGTAGCCACCACCCTCCTAAGCACTAATTCCACAATCACAGCATCCTCCCATAATATTGTGCCCTGCCTCCCACCCTCCCAGCCTGCACCTTCCTCTTCCATAGGAAAGGGAACAACTGAAAGTGAGAGCAAGACAGAACCAGTGGAAGGAAAGAGAGACAGGACAGGCAATGACAGGAAAACTCAGCCTTTGGGGGAACATCAAACACAAATGCTTACAGAAACCTCTCAACCCCTGTCACCACATATCAACCAAACACAGTAAACAGAAACGAACCTCACTCCGTAGCCACCACCCCCCTAAGCACTAATTCCACAATCACAGCATCCTCCCATAATATTGTGCCCTGCCTCCCACCCTCCCAGCCTGCACCTTCCTCTTCCATCTCCCAAAATACAGTAATGGAAAGGAAGCTAAAGGTATGGTACACCAATGCAGATGGAATAACAAATAAGAGTGAAGAGTGGCAAGAATGCATCATTGATGCATCACCTGACATCACAGCACTAACAGAGACAAAACATACAGGGATAACAGATGCAATTTTTTCACCTGGATATCAGATTATGAGGAAAGACAGAGAGAACAGAGGAGGGGGAGGAGTAGCATTGCTGATAAAAAACCAGTGGAGTTTTGAGGAGATGGGAGGAATGGAAAGAAGGGAAACAAACGACTTCATTGTAGGAACACTTCAGACTGGTGGTCCAAAGGTGATGATAGCAGTGATGTATAACCCACCACTTAACAGCAGGAGAACAAGAGAAGAGTATGATGTGCGCAATAGGGCAATGGTGGATACACTAGCTGAAGTGGCCAGGAGGGCTCATATGGGTAGGACAAAATTGCTTATAATGGGGGATTTCAATCATAAAGAGATTGACTGGGAAAACCTAGAGCCACATGGGGGACCAGAAACATGGAGGGCTAAGATGTTGGAGACTGTATTGGAAAACTTATGCATCGACATGTTAGGGATACAACCAGAGAGAGAGGAGAGGATGTTGCAGCAAGGCTGGATCTCATATTCACCTTGAATAGTTCAGACATAAGGGATATCCCCCACGAAAGACCCCTTGGCGCTAGTGATCATGATGTCCTGAGTTTTGAATATCTTGTTGAGTTAACAGTGGAGAATGCAGCGGCACGAAAACAAAGAGAAAACCAAACTTCAAAAAAGGGGACTACATAGGAATGAGAAGTTTCCTGCATGAAGTGCAGTGAGAAAGAGAACTAGATGGAAAGACAGTAAATGAAATGATAGAAATAGTAACCACTAAGTGCCCCTATCACGAGCCTTTTCCATCCTATGGAGAGGGAGCATGGACACGGGGGTCGTCCCACAGTTACTAAAAACAACAGACATAGCCCCACTCCACAAAGGGGGCAGTAAAGCAACAGCAAAGAACTACAGACCGATAGCACTAACATCCCATATCATAAAAATCTTTGAAAGGGTCCTAAGAAGCAAGATCACCACCCATCTAGAAACCCATCAGTTACACAACCCAGGGCAACATGGGTTTAGAACAGGTCGCTCCTGTCTGTCTCAACTATTGGATCACTACGACAAGGTCCTAAATTCACTAGAAGACAAAAAGAATGCAGATGTAATATATACAGACTTTGCAAAAGCCTTCGACAAGTGTGACCATGGCGTAATAGCGCACAAAATGCGTGCTAAAGGAATAACAGGAAAAGTCGGTCGATGGATCTATAATTTCCTCACTAACAGAACACAGAGAGTAGTCGTCAACAGAGTAAAGTCCGAGGCAGCTACGGTGAAAAGCTCTGTTCCACAAGGCACAGTACTCGCTCCCATCTTGTTCCTCATCCTCATATCCGACATAGACAAGGATGTCAGCCACAGCATCGTGTCTTCCTTTGCAGATGACACCCGAATCTGCATGACAGTGTCTTCCATTGCAGACACTGCAAGGCTCCAGGCGGACATCAACCAAATCTTTCAGTGGGCTGCAGAAAACAATATGAAGTTCAACGATGAGAAATTTCAATTACTCAGATATGGTAAACACGAGGAAATTAAATCTTCATCAGAGTACAAAACAAATTCTGGCCACAAAATACAGCGAAACACCAACGTCAAAGACCTGGGAGTGATCATGTCGGAGGATCTCACCTTCAAGGACCATAACATTGTATCAATCGCATCTGCTAGAAAAATGACAGGATGGATAATGAGAACCTTCAAAACTAGGGAGGCCAAGCCCATGATGACACTCTTCAGGTCATTTGTTCTATCTAGGCTGGAATATTGCTGCACACTAACAGCACCTTTCAAGGCAGGTGAAATTGTTGACCTAGAAAATGTACAGAGAACCTTCACGGCGTGCATAACGGAGATAAAACACCTCAATTACTGGGAGCGCTTGAGGTTCCTAAACCTGTATTCCCTGGAACGCAGGAGGGAGAGATACATGATTATATACACCTGGAAAATCCTAGAGGGACTAGTACCGAACTTGCACACGAAAATCACTCACTACGAAAGCAAAAGACTTGGCAGACGATGCAACATCCCCCCAATGAAAAGCAGGGGTGTCACTAGCACGTTAAGAGACCATACAATAAGTGTCAGGGGCCCGAGACTGTTCAACTGCCTCCCAGCATACATAAAGGGGATTACCAACAGACCCCTGGCAGTCTTCAAGCTGGCACTGGACAAGCACCTAAAGTCGGTTCCTGACCAGCCGGGCTGTGGCTCGTACGTTGGTTTGCGTGCAGCCAGCAGCAACAGCCTGGTTGATCAGGCTCTGATCCACCAGGAGGCCTGGTCACAGACCGGGCCGCGGGGGCGTTGACCCCCGGAACTCTCTCCAGGTAAACTCCAGGTAAACTCCAGGAGGCTGAGGAAGGGTTCATACCAGAGGGCAACAGAAAAAATGGTAAAACCAGAGTGAGCCCATGGTTTAATTGGAGGTGTAAAGAGGCCAAAGCCAAGTGTGCTAGAGCATGGAAAAGGTATAGAAGGCAAAGGACTCAAGAAAACAAGGAGCAGAGCAGAAGAACCAGAAACGAATATGCAAGGATAAGGAGAGAGGCCCAGAGGCAATACGAGAACGACATAGCATCAAAAGCCAAATCTGAACCAAAGTTGTTATACAGTCACATTAGGAGAAAAACAACAGTCAAGGACCAGGTAATCAGGCTGAGGAAAGAAGGAGGGGAGCTCACGAAGAGTGACCAAGAAGTATGTGATGAACTAAACAAAAGGTTTAGAAAAGTATTCACAATAGAGTCAGGAATGCTTCCAGCAAACTGTGGAGGTAGGGTGCACCAGCAGGCGCTGGACACAATACGCATAACCAAGGTAGAGGTGAAGAAACTCCTAGACGAGCTCGATACCTCAAAGGCGGTGGGCCCAGATAACATATCCCCATGGATACTGAGAGAGGGAGCAGAGGAACTGTGTGTGCCATTAGCAGCAATCTTCAGTAAATCTATCGAAACAGGGCAGTTGCCTGAGGCATGGAAGACAGCACATGTAGTTCCAATTTTTAAGAAAGGGGACAGACAGGCAGCATTAAACTACAGACCAGTGTCACTGACTTGTATAGTATGTAAAGTCATGGAAAAGATTATCAGGAGAAAAGTAGTGGAACACATTGAAAAGATTGGGCTCATACATGACAGTCAGCATGGCTTCAGAGATGGGAAATCCTGTGTCACAAATTTACTTGAGTTCTACGATAAGGTAACAGAAGTAAGACAGGAGAGAGAGGGATGA